TATCCCCCCGAGCCCTATTGGACTGTAAATTCCATGTGGACAGGGGGCTCATCGTGCTGTCCACTGTTGCATCTCTGAGACCTTACCCATAGAACACCTGGCACATGGGAGACCACAGGATGAAGAATGAATGGGCGCCCTATGTTCTCTTTCCTGTTTGGGCCTCAGTCACTTGGCAGGTCCCAAAGCTTGAGAAGGAACACTTGTTGTCACCAAGAATCTACTAGAGTCTGGCTTATCTTTCAGAACTTTTTTTTTTTTTTTTTTTGGTGAGGAAGACCAGCCCTGAGCTAACATCTGATGCCAATCCTCCTCTTTTTGCTGAAGAAGACTGGCCCTGAGCTAACATCCGTGTCCATCTTCCTCTACTTTATATGGGACGCCAACACAGCACGGCTTAACAAGCAGTGCATGGGTGCGTGCTTGGGATCCGAACCGGCGAACCCCGGGCCGCTGCAGCGGAGCGCACGCACTTAACCGCTCGTGCCACCGTGCCGGCCCCCAGAACTCTTATCAGTAACAGTAGATATAACTTATGCACCGTTTTCTTCTGTATTTGTTTCTCTTTCAAAATACTGACCTGGAATACGGACAAGGTAGCACATCATCTACTTGCTTTCAGGAAGTACGGAACCATTTCATATCATCTTTCTAGAGTTTTTCTCCAAATTTAGTCACCCAAAAATCTCCAGGTCTTAATTTCCTAATCTGTAGAAGTAGAATAATTATTTCTTTTTTTTAGAAATAATGATTTAAAAAATTATTTAAAAAATAATTGATTTTTTAAATCAAGAAATTTCACTAGTAAATGATCCTTGAAGTGCATCAATCTCCTCTTCCTTCCCTCCTTCCCTCACCCATCAACTATTTATTGAATGTTTGATATGTCAGACTCTGTGCTGTGCACATTGGCATTTACTGTCTCATATAAAAAATAATATTTATTAGTTTGCATTGATTTATACAAGTAACAGAGTCACAACAGAAAATTTGGAACATATACAATACTATAAATAAGAATCACATAATCAGAACCAGCAACAGTAACTGTCATCTTTTTGATATATTTCCTAGTTTTTCCATATGTACATGCATTTTCCATGCTTGAAATAATAATTTACATACAATTTTGTAATGTTCTTTCCCCCTCCCAACAATATATTTAGGTACTTTCTTGTGTTCAGGAAAAATTCCTCATTTTTAATAGCTGCATAGTAGTTTGTTTAAACTTCCCCCTAATTTTGAATGTTTGGGTTGTTTCTAATATTCTGACATTATAAAAAAGGAGGCAGTGTATATCTTTACAAACAAATCTTTGTGTTCATTTCTGATTGTTTCTATAGAATCCCTAGATATGGAATTATAGGGTCAAAGTGTATAAACACTTTTAAGGCTCTCAACATATTTCACAAAATTGCTTTCCAATAAATTTATATCAACTTATGTGCCCACTAATAGTATATAAAATTGCCCATTTCAATGCACTCCCGCCAGTATTGAATATTAGAATTTAAGAAAACATTTTCTAATTTAATATTGTATGTTAGTCATTAATTATTAAATAATTTAGTAATTAATTATTAATACTGTATATTACAAATATTGTATATTATTTTAAATTTTTATTTTTAAAATTATTAGGTAGTCTAAACACTTTAAAATATAATTATGCACACACAAACACACACACACAGAACTAATTACTAATCATTTTTATTTTCTTTTTGAGGAAATTTTCCCACTGAGTTATTAGAGTTTTCTCGGCAATTTGCATGTACTCTTGTATTGAGAATAAAATTAACTGTCAGATTTGTTACGCATAGTTCCATAGGGTATTTTTCTTTTTCAAATTTTGTTCACAATATTTTTAATTGTCAGAATTTTTAAATTTTTATGAAATCTAGTCTAATGGTCATTTTCTGTATGATTTTTTCATTTCTTTTCTTCCCCCATCTTGAGATCACATAAATATTTGTCTAAATTTTCTCCTACTTTTAAAATTCTTTAATGTAGCTGAACTTTCTTTTAGCACTTAATGAAAGGTAAGGGCTTAACTTGATTATTTTTTCAAATCACTAGTTTTCTCAAGCCCCTTTATTGAGAATTCATCCTCTTTTCATTTATTTTAGATGACTTTTTTATCACATATTAACACTATCTTTTTTTGGGTAATCTATTCCATTCTATTATCTATATCATTCAATATCTATTATTGTTCTATTATGATACTTTTAATTATTATGACCCTATGCTATGTTCCAATAATAAATGGGGCAATTTGCCATATTTTTCTTCATTTTCATAATTTTCTTAACTCCTCATCTGCTCTTTGTTGGCGGAAATGTTAAAATAATTTTGTTTTAGCCTCACAGGGTAGATGTTAATAGCCTCATTGTACAGATAAGGAAGCAAGTCTCAAAAATAAATAGCTCATGGGCCAGCCTGTGGCTTAGCGGTTAAGTGAGCGCGCTCCGCTACTGGCGGCCCGGAGTTCCCATCCCGGGCGCGCACCGACGCACCGCTTCTCGGACCATGCTGAGGCCGAGTCCCACATACAGCAGCTAGAAGGATGTGCAACTGTGACATACAACTATCTACTGGGGCTTTGGGGGAAAAAACGGAGGAGGATTGGCAATAGATGTTAGCTCAGAGCCAGTCTTCCTCAGCAAAAAGAGGAGGATTAGCACGGATGTTAGCTCAGGGCTGATCTTCCTCACAAAAAATAAAAAAATAAATAAATAGGTCAAGGCTACACATCTCCTAAGTGGAAGAGGCATAAAGCAAAATCATTTCTTTTGACAGCTCCCCTTTCAGCTCTAAAATGCTCTAATTTTTTAGTAAAGAAAACATGCAATTTACTCACTAACCATTTTCTCCTTTCCTGTCTGCCTCCCTCTAGTGGCCACCACAGACATTGCAGTTTCTCAAGTCAATTTCATACAGTAATTCTTTATATAAAATAAAAACATACGTTTAGCTTAATTTTTTTAGTTTACTTTTAAAATTTTTAATTTACATAAAGTTCATAAGAATGCCTGTCTAATATTTGGGGGTCACGTATTACCAGCATTTGCTTAGCAAAGACCAACCTCAGAAGACATCTATTAAAAAGTTGAGGGAATATAAAGTAAGATTGCGTCAATTTCATGGATTTTCAAGTAGTAACAATAGCATAGACAAAGACCCTTCTGATGTTTCTTCTTAGCTTTTAGTCCCTTTGCGTAAGTTCAGTTGGCACGAAGGTGCCTAGACAGGGGTGCAGTGGGACTGGAGACAGCCTGTGCCCGGGGAGTCACGCGACGGCCCTGGCTAGGCGTGCACCAGCCCAGAGCAAGGGCCACCTGTTTTTGGTTCCCATAAAGATCCGGCGTGTGCTAGCCGGGGCTGGTCTCATCTCCCCTGCTGCATCTTGGTTGAAACCTCAAGTCTCATTTTCTTCCCTGTTCATTTCCTGCTTTTTCTTTTTGCCTTTTCTTTCCCCCTTCTTCCTTCCTAATCCCATCATCCTTCAATTTCTTCCTTCTCTCCTCTTCACCTGCAAGAAAAGATACTGTGTAAAATTAAATTTTTACACAAAAGATAATGTGTACATTAAAACTTTTAAAGAAAACTAAGCTAAACATATGTTTATACATCATAAAAGCTTACCCAAGCAAAAAGAATGATAAAAAGAAAAAAAATTCTGGGAAGCACTTGCCAAAATGTCTTTTTTTTCTTGATCTGAGTTCCTTAAAAATAGGGGCTGCCTATATGACCTCTCACTCATGGATGTTTAATATTATTTAATTTTTACTAAGCCAATTCATGATAAATGCATTAGTATTTAACACAATATAGAACAAAATTTAAAAGGAAAAAAAAGAACATAAGGCCCATTATTCCTCAGGGATTAAGGACTGAGAGAACAGATTCTCTCAGAGATTTGGTTCAGAAAGGGGATAATAATATTTGCCTAATTAACTAGCATGTTGGGTAGATTAAAGTGCTTTGTAAACATTAATTAAAGATGCAGGGAGTTAGATGAGGCCAATGTGTTATTAGTGAAAAAGTTTTCTTTCCTTTAATCAAGTATCTCTTCCCAGGCAGACAAAGAAATGATCTAAGGACTAAGGAATTGGGCCCAGCCCTGAGCACTGCCAGTGACTCAGTCATTGTGTGCAACCAGCCACTTCCCTCCTCAGTTTTCTGTAAAATGGGGATAAAGGAATAGAGGTTGTTATAACATCTGCCATTTGAATATATAACAAACCCTACAATTAATAAACCCGTGTGACTCTTGCTTTCTCCCTCCCGAGAGTTGTTCCACCCCGTGGAAACACGGGTAACATTAACTTCCACCAACTTACAAAAGCCAGCCACAACCACCTATTAACTTCAGGGGATATTTCCACAGTGACAAAGAAGAAAATAGCGCCTAGCAATGTGGTCCAAAACTCTTGGACCAGTGTCTTCACCGCTCTGAGCCTCAGTTTTCCTCCTCTGCGAAATAGGGATAAGAAATCAGAGGATTGTTCTAAGGATTAAATGAAATAACGTGCGTATATTCAATGTCCGCAGGTAGTGCGTCTTCGACGCGAAGTAGTTATTTTTATTGTCATTAAATATAAAATAACCTCTCAAAGCTGGTGAGGGAGGGTGGGGGAAGTCCCATCTCATTCAGAGCTTCCAACCCAAACCTCTGTTTTCTCTCTGCTTGTGTACCTCGGATGGGGGTGGGGTGTCACTCAGACGGTCCCCCACTCAAGCCGAACGCAGACACCGAGGACCCCGGCGAGAGGCGCCCGCGGGGCGGCTCCGGCGCCGCCGGGGCCTGTCCTTTTAAGTGCCCGGGCGCGCGCTGTGTTCGGGGGGCCGAGCCCCGGCGGG